GAGATATAAAAAACATTAAATTAAACATCTTGGAGGACGAAAAATATCCTTCAATAGAGACGTCTAAGTAAGAATGAAATGAGAGAGTCTCCCTTACTGACTGTCATTTATTTTAGTCAAACATTTTATGGTCATATGGTTCTGTATGGAAAATATAATTATTAATAAGGCGTCGGTGGCACAGTGGTTAGGACTCTCGTTGACCATGCACATGGTCGGGGTTCGATCCCCTGCCGGCGCACACCCGATATCAATGGTTGGCCTGCGAAATTTGGGCTACCGATATCATATGCTGAAAATTGCATACCTGTACCAAAATTACTGTGTGGTTTTAAGCTATAATCCAAAAAAGAAGAATTCCATTATGAATCTTTAGATTGTTGTTTCAAAGTCATTGATTATTTACAACACTTTGGTCGAACTTATTACCATTTAATCAGTGTAGTTTAATAGTTTAGTTTAAAAGGTTATGTACCAATGCAGAGTCACTGGTAAAAAGCCAGTTGAAAAGAAACTTATGTCTTCAATCAACCCACTGTTTTCTAAAGATCTAAATGAGACGTTTGAATATCACAATGTGTATCGCCGAGGGATTGCGTAGAAAGATGAGCTGGAGGCACTATTTACTACAGTATCGGAAAATGCCATTTAATGTATGTGGACTTTTTTCATTCCCTAACCTTCCTAGTAGAATATAAGCCTTCAAGCCTTTCAAAGTTTCCGTAGCGGTGTTGTTCTTACGAGTTAGAGTTGCCAGTTTCACGCCCAATCTTCCTAAGTTATGATGACGTTTAGGAGAGGATTGGAGAGGAGTTGAAATTGGATCGAATGAGTGGTTGGCAAGCGTTCTACCGTTGAGCCACCGATGTCACATATTGTAGTACTGATACAAGAATTCTGAGAAAGTGTAAGTCTTTATCATTAAAAAACATATTCAAGTATTGGTTTGTAGGGATTTAGTTGATTGGTTACAGTATTTCATCATGAGCTGACATTATTTAGAGAGCCACTGGAAAACCTGGGAGTACTGGACAGCTGTTTCGTCCTCGTTTGGGACGCACCCACTACAGGGGTTCGAACCCAGGACCTTCTGGTTACAAGGTCAGCTCGTATACCATTAAGCCACTGGGACCCGATCCAATGGCCCATGAATTCTAACTTCTGCCAATTCACGATATAACGCAACCGCTAGCCAATGTCTTCGGCGAGTATTTGTCCTCATACCCGAACTGCTGCACCCTGCTGGTCACGACTTCCCACTGGAACCCCAGGTAACTACCTACCTGAATAGGGCCAGTCGCCAGTGAGTATCTCATTGATATTCAAGTATTTTTTTTCCTTCACGTTCCCCAGTGGAACATAGGGCTTCAAGCTAATGGCTTGAAGTTTCTGTAGCAGTGTTTATTTTACAGGATGGGGTTGCTAGCCTCATGCCCAACCTTTCCTCTTCACCACTATTATTTCTGGCTCAACGAGGTAAAGGAGTGCGTCGGCCGGGGATCGAATCCCGGACCATGTGCATGGTCGGCGAGCGTCCTAACCGCTATACCACCGACGCAAAGTATTGGTTTGTATTGGTTTGTAGGAATTTGGTTGATTGGTTACAGGATTTCATCATTTTCCTCTGAACACCAGATTTCTACATTTTTCTACTTAAGAATTACCAAGAGGTGGTTTGTAGGGATTCGATTTACCAAACAGACACAACAATGACTAACTTGGAATATGTGAATATATATATAGAGATATATACATATTTTTGGAGAACTAACTATGAACATTAAAATGCTGGCTAATTTTATATACACAACAGAAGCTGGATAGAATTATTAAAAGAAGGAGTTTATCTGAAAAACACGATATATTTACTATTACATTTTGGACAATCTGACCACACATTTACTGGTCAAGTCAGCTGATATGAAAAACGAAAAAAGAATGAAATGACAATTATAATAAATGCAAAATAATGAGCATATCAAGAATGAAAAGGATAATAACTCTCTCTAGGTTTTGATAATATAATCAGGTAAAGATTACCAAGTTAGGCTTAGGATAACAATAAAAAATGTTTTTAATGCTCACAGGGAATGGATTTCACTCGATGGTTGGCTTTCTCCTTTAAGTACTTTAATACAGTACTCCTGATTGTTTTGCAGATTATCTTAAAGGCTGTTTCACTACCAGTCTTCTGATTCGTTTCAATACAAAGTAAAAGAGTCTAATTTGTTTGGTTGAAGGATTTCATCATGAGCTGACATCGGTTAGAGAACCACTGGAATGCCAACTGGGAGTACTGGACAGCTGTTTTGTTAGCCCAGTTTGGGACTCTTGATTGGTACGCATCCGCTGGGATTCGAATCCAGGACCTTCTGGTTACAAGACGAGCTCGTAGACCATTGAACCACTGGGACCCGATTAAACGGCCAACGCATGAATTCTAACTTCGGCCAATTCACGACACAGCGCGACCACTTCGCAGTGTCTTGTTCGATGAGTAACTGTCCTCGCCTTCGACCTGGTTACGACCTCCCTCTAGAATTCCTCGTACCTGAATAGGGCCAGTCACTAGTGAGCATCTCATTGGTTTTCAAGTATTGGTTATTAGGGATTTGATTGATTGGTTGATGGATTTCATCATGAGGTGACATCGGTTAGAGAATCAATGGTTTTCCGGTGAGTGAGTGCTGCGAAGAGTCCCAAACAAGGACGAAACGGCTGTCCAATACTCCCTGCAGTTTTTCCAATGGTTCTTTAACCGATGGCAGATCGTGGTGAAATCGATCAACCAATCAATCAAATCCCTACAAACCAGTACTTGAAAATCTTATTTATTTTTATAACACAATAGAATTAGCTAGCCATAAAAAAACATTTGTTAATTTCTAGTGAGAGTTTATGGTATTCATATTCCACTAGTATTCATGAAATAAGATCAATATAGTCAACGAAAGTGTATTTAACCAAGTTATGTTTACCTTAGACACACACATATGAATAAACGAATTACTGATTTAAGCCTCATCTACTTGCACAGAAAATGTGGTCAAAAAATCTAAACTTGTACAGTTTCCAGTCTACTGTTTTTGATACTTCTTATTTCACCCAATCTCGCTTATCCGCTATCATATCATTTGCCCTACATCGTGGTAAGTATTCAGGTAACCCGTGAATACCACACAATACATAATTAAGCTAGTAGAATTTTTATAGAGATATATGAATTTTCGACTGCCTCCATTGCCGTATGAACTTGGATGCGATATGTTTAACTTTCAGTCTCTCTTCTAATTACACGTTATTCAAAGAATCTCAGTGTATATTATTCGATAATAGACAGTCATTTTTTCACTCACTTTGAACTTTCCCGTTGACTGATTGCACCGAAGTGCTCAGCCTCTGTTAACATGTCAGCTGCTTCTGCGGAATGCTTTACATCCGGATGTATCCAGATGATGAGTCCCAAATGGAACGAAATGATCACCATGGATTCCATATTGCTAGTCACCATCCACGAGATAACTTCAGAGTCATTTGTTTAGAATCATTATACCTACGATTACATAACTGGGACAAAGGGCATTAGAATGAATTCACGTAACCTTAAATGAAACATTTAAAGGCAATTATTGATTTATACATACTTAACTTCCGTGCTAACTGGCATTATCTCAGTTTTCCTAGATTTCTCAGTATATCCTATCTGATCTAAGCCAACTGATAGGAAATGTTGGACAAGGCCTTAATGATAGTTGAATCTCAACAGTTTAGACTTAAAAAAGTAGCAAGAATCTGTGAGGAGGTGAGTTCTTGGTTTATTATTGAGATCTAAGACAATCTGTATAACAGAAAGACTTTTGAAAATCCTTCCTGGATGATGTAATCACAATACTTTTGCTTATTTGGAGGTTTCAAATTAACTGTGCAATTATTGTTCGTATCTCCCCTAGACAGTATATCATTGTTGTGACATCTGCATATCACATTCTGATTTGGTCCTGATTATCTTTCTCTAGTTTTAATACTTCAAGTATTGGTTTGTAGGGATTTGGTTGATTGGTTACAGGATTTCATCATGAGCTGAAATTGGTTAGAGAACCACTGAAATACCAGCTGGGAGTACTCTACGGCCGTTTCGTCCTAGTTTGGGACTCTTCATCAGTACGCACCCATCGGGTCCCAGTGGCTTAATGGTATACGAGGTCGCCTTGTAACCAGAAGGTCCTGGTTTCGAACCCCAGTGGTTGATTACTGATGAAGAGTCTCAAACTAAGACGAAACAACTGTCCAGCACTCCCAGGTTTTCCAGTGGTTCTCTAACCAATGTCAGATCATGATGAAATCCTTTATCACTTCACTTTGTGTTTGTGTATTATATTGATAATCTGTTGTTCTACGATGTGGTTTTGTCTGAGTATAAGGAAGGTCATTTCGATCATGAACTGTCTTCAGGAAGCATTCTTGTAGACGAAATTGCTTATCCCACCTTTCTGAAGGTATTTTACCTGATTCTAAGTACTCGTTTTGTTCTTAGACTGGACTATTCAACTGTCAAACAGTACTGTTGATAAACAGAGATTTGTCATAGAATAATCATCCTTTTGGTATTTTTTGAGCGTTTCGTGACTACCTGTGTCTCGAGGAAGTTTTTTAATTTATACAGTAGGATGCAAAGATCGATTTCCTATGCTCAGACTACAACGAGCCGGTTCCCGTAGTGACAGTTTATGTGTTAGGATCCAAATGATGACTGTACATTATGTAAAACTGTCTGTACACTAGTGCTAAAGCCGGATAATTTTATATACCTAACTGTAATGTTTTCTAGTGGATTAAACAATGACTTTCTTTTGAGTTTATGAAAATATAAATACAAACTAACAGTCATTTCAATTTTTACCGCCATGAATTTGTTTGGTTAATTAAAGTGACCAATCAGAATTTAGAATCAGTAAGTTATTTAATATAATATAAAAATCTCTGTACTTTATTCTAGTATAGTTCATAGTTAACAATAAGGAATGTGGAAAAAAAATATTTTACATATATATGTATAAATCCACTCATTGATTACCGGATAATTTGGAAAAGTATTCCTTCATTTTCTGTTTGTTTTTATGCGCAATATTACCAACAACAACAACAACCACGTAATCAAAGCAATAGCAAAAATATTATTCACCAGGTGGAAAGTTATATACTGAAAAGAAAGTAGTTTGTTAGAAATTATTTTGTGAACAGTACAATGGAACGATACAAGCGTATCCCTCTACTGGTTAGCTGAAGCACTTTCTAGCTGATAATGATGATTAACAAAAGTATAGACGATTATCAGGTGCCTTCAAAATCGTATTATTCATCAACAATGCTATATGATAATCTATCAAAATATTTTCTTGTCTGGTATTTACCGACAGTAATCACAGTTGGATTTGTCGGGTCAATCTTCTGTTTGTTTTTCTTAATACGCTCGAAATTATTTCCATCTAGTTTACAAATATGGCTGATAAGTATTTGTATCGGGGATTTTTTCATCTTAATGACAGAAGGTATATGGATGCTATTGAAAGTTTGGTTTCGAATCGACCTTCGAGATTATAATGATTGGATATGTATCCTGCATACAAGTTTCTCAAATTATTTATTCTACTGGTCAGCATATATGCAGTGCATTTTATCCATTCAACGTTGTTATCTTGTTCTATGGCCACTGAAAGTTAAATCGAAATTTTTATCTTTATCAAGACTGTTAGTCTATCAGTTGTTGACCTCATTATTTCTAGTATTACCGATTCTACCCTATCCACTTTATTGGCAGGTTATAAAAGGTGACTGTGATCCTGTAAATGAAAGAATATTCCGTTTCACTACAATATGTGATTTAATACTATGGGGATTTGTACCTGTATTTATTATGACAACATGTACAGGTATTATATGTCGGAATTTACTAACACGACATAAATTTGTCCATCCAACAATGCATACTAACTCCAAGATGAATAATCATCAACACAATCATCATCATCATCCTCCTCATGCCTACCGGTACACAATCAGCAGTGCTGGTAATCTTCACAAACACAGCTACCAGTTACAATATCCAAATCATCTTCTGAAATCGGTGAAATCATTCGGTCATTCAATAAATCTCTTAGCAAGTCAAGAATCAGTGTTTAATCCACTTGATCAGCCTATCCACTGTGATGTAGGTCATCGTAAATGTTCTTCACATGACAGTAATATGCGTGTAACACCACTGCTAATTTGTATGAATCTAGTTTATATGGCAAGTGTTTGTCCATTGGTAATCTATTTTTTATGCTTAAATTTTATTTTTGAAAAAATTGACTCTGATATGCACAAATTTCTTTATTATTTATTTCGGAGTTTTTGTCTGCTGAATACTTGTACAAATTGGATATTTTATTGTGTATCTGGTAAAATGTTTCGTCAGCGTACTAAATTTCTAATAATGTTGCTATGTCGTTCACAGAAAAAGTCAACTCATTCAGATACAAAAGGCTACGTGATGACAGAGTACACGCGTAAATTTAGGTGTTCAAATTCAAATTCTAATGTAACACGAAATACTACATACTCAACAAAAAGACCTGTTTCTAGCAAATTGTAAATGTTTTCATGGCGAAATTTTGATGCAAAAAATAAAAAACACAACAAATATTGTAGGAGAACTCTGTGTTGTAAATTCACCCGCTGACAGGATTTATACATTCCGTATTTACATACAAACAACAATTTATAGACAGAATTCTACTCTAAAAATGTGTGTGTGTTTCAAAACTTTAGGAACATTGTGTGAAGAGAAACGTGTTTGGTGATACCTCATATTCAATCAAAATCATTTCTATTAATCTACAATAATTTGTGATTTGAAGAGGTTATAATATATACATACATATATGAGCATTATTTCGTCTTCACATCACTTTTGTATGTATCTATTAATGTATGAAATATGCTTAACTTTCTTAGCTTGTAATATCACTCAGACTACCTTGCTGAATATGAATATTTACAAATGTATTTTGGCTTTCAAAATATTGTATTTTCTTTTCAACCACCATAGTGAAACATTATTTGGTAAGTGGAGTCTTTCTCATTAAAACCTCCAACTATATTGGATTTTTTGAAAAAAAAACTATTTGAAAACATTGCGAAAAATAGTAAAATATTTTTGAATGACATCTATTTCTTTCAAATTATTATTATTCCCTTGCGCTCCAAGTGGAACATAGGGCTTCAACAACACATCTCCACCTTGTTCTGTTTTCTGCCGTCCTCTTCAGCTGGGTTCACGACTGACTCAACTCTCTCATCTCTTCCTCACACGATCTCTTCTGTGTCACCCTAGGACAACCCACTTTTCGCTTCCCTTTTTAATTCCACTGGAGGGTATGGTGTGAGATGTCTTTTGACAGTTACCGAAATGTATGCCCAATCCATCCCCACTTTCTTCCACATATTTGTTGAGGGGTCGGCTCTTGGTTGGTTGGTTTCCATAGTTTCTTGTTGCTTATTCTTTCTGGCCATTTGATCTTCAGTATGGAGCCAGAGAAGGCAGATGTTTATGAAAGTCTACAACCTGTTGGAAATCCTTTTCGTGACACACCAAGTTTCTGACCCGTATAGAAGCACTGACCGACTTCACATTGGTGTTGAAAATGCTAATCTTGTTCCTTATGCTGAGTGCGGAAGATTTCCCAACTGGTTTCAGGTTGATGAAGACTTTTCTACAAAGAGTAATAAAACTGTTGATGCAGGACAAATATTTGCACTTAAGTTTAATATAGAGAATTTGTAGCAGTTCTTATATATGGATCACAATTTAACAATAAGTTCGTGAGGTCAAACTATTCTTCAGATGTCTTAGTCTGATGACATCATCATACCATGTATTGTGTATGACACAGTTCGAGGTTATAATGCCGTGCATTTCTAAGAAGTTTCATCTGTTTTAATCAAGGTCTGGGAATAAATGTCTGAGAAGCGAAAGTGAGATGTTGCAAGGCTTTCAGTCCAAGAGCATCACGGATGTTCAAGTCAAAATCACTCAAACATTCACTTTTATGATCGGTTGTGTGTGTACGAATACTCAAGAACAGTGAGAGGCCTTTTATGCAACAACAGACTACAAAGCATTTTATGAAACGAATCAGACATATATATATTATACAATCATCTGTTTATAATAACCCTCATCATTTAACACTGGCTGTTGGTATAAACAAAGTAATCAGGGATTTTTGACTCGGTCGAAAGAAAATTCATTAAAATTGAATTTCTGTTTATTAACAATGCATAGCTGAACGATATGTTTTAAATCACAATGTTAAACTTATTATGAAGCTTAGATTGGTTTTACTTTGTTTAAGTTATGCTCATCACCTGAGAATTTTACATGGGAGATAAGCGAATTCATTTAGTTAGAGTTATTTTTGATAATTTTTTTCATACCACAAAAGCATTATTTTTACACTTACACATCTTCATCATTCTGTTTTTCAAAAATATATCTTAAGTTATTCATTTACTTTCAAAAGAATGGATGCTAAACAAACAGTACTCTTTTCGATAAATTCATTATCAGGCTCTACAGTTATATATACATTATAGTGAATGAATGAATTAGTCTTATGAACGACATTAATGTTTAAATAACATCGAATCAATAATAGTGATAGATAACAGCTCAGTAGCACCAACATTAAATAAACTGAATGTCAGAAAACTTAGGAAAGATAATATTACAGAGCCATGAGTTTATATTTTCTACTGAGGGCCAGGGCAGTAGTAGGGGCTGGACTTGTTCCTTTTGAACAAAGAGCACTGGGTGTTTGAGGCGGATCGTAATAGCCTCTGCTTTTTGGAGCATGCGGTGCTTCGATGATTTCGGTAATTTATTTGGTACCCGGTAGATGATAAGGAAGGATTCTTCAATGCTGGCTTAGTTTTGACTATTAACTATTAGACCATCTGGTGCAAACTGGCCACAAAGCCAGCATTGAAGAATCCTTCCTTATCATCTACCGGGTACCAAATAAATTACCGAAATCATCGAAGCACCGCATGCTCCAAAAAGCAGAGGCTATTACGATCCGCCTCAAACACCCAGTGCTCTTTGTTCAAAAGGAACAAGTCCAGCCCCTACTACTGCCCTGGCCCTCAGTAGAAAATATAAACTCATGGCTCTGTAATATTATCTTTCCTAAGTTTTCTGACATTCAGTTTATTTAATGTTGGTGCTACTGAGCTGTTATCTATCACTATTATTGATTCGATGTTATTTAAACATTAATGTCGTTCATAAGACTAATTCATTCATTCACTATAATGTATATATAACTGTAGAGCCTGATAATGAATTTATCGAAAAGAGTACTGTTTGTTTAGCATCCATTCTTTTAAAAATTTTAATGGGCATTTTTAATCAGTTATATATTTAAATCAGTTTCATTCCTTTACGTTCCTGGTGGAAATTGGGCTCCAAGCTTTGAGCTCTGAATTGTCAGTAGCTGCGGTGTCTTTTTACATGGTGGGGTTACTAGCCTCACACCCAAACTTCACTCTGTACAGGGCCTACTAATGTTGAGGCCAAATCTAGGAGTGAATCGGTCAGGGATCAGACCCCAGACCACATGCGCGGTTGGCAAGGATTCCGCCTCTGAACCACCAGAGTCCTTCAGTTTTTTTAAATAAGCACGGCAGCTAAATTAGGTGAATACTATAATTAAAAAAATGTAAACCCATTATTTATAATGTTAGCTTGTTTCCCTCTGTTATTATGAGCTGACCAGGCTCCGTTGCACGAATAATATATTTCTGTATTTGACACAATTTCGCCCCGGTATTTAATTCCATTTATTTATCACTAATCTGTCTAACCGTCAAGACTGTCAAACTGAGTTTATTTTAGAAAGGATTGTTTGATATAACACACAGTAATACAGTTTCCAGGAGTTATTTTGTAGAGGTTTGGTTGGTTTCTGGTTTAATAACGGATTGGAAACGAAGGAGTACGGGACAGCTATTTCGTCCTAGTTTGGGACTCATCATCAACACCCGCCCACAACCCAACCAAAGACTGAACGCAGGACCTACGGATGACGAGGTCAAGCTCACTGAATATTCAACCACTGGGTCGGAACACAGTGACCCATGAATCCTGATTTCTCTCAATTTGCGGTTCTAACGTGATGACCAGTCAGTGTCACTGGTGAGTCTTTGTCCTCACACCTGACCTGGTGAACTCCACTGTTCACAATTTCTCACTAAGACTACAGGCAACTTTGTCCTGTATCAAGCTACCAGAGAGCTAGTTTATAGTGTTTGATTTGCTTCAAGTTGCTCATATTGCTCCCATCCATATCAGTGTTTGCACATGATTTTTTGACTCACTTCATGTCCCATGTTCCCCCTCCCCTCGCGTGTTTATGGATACTATCTTCTATATATCTGACACTGGTGTAGGAATATTTTACACCATTTTACATATGTTTGGTGTTGATTCCATGAACGAGGATTTGGTGACTAACCCCTCTCTTTCTCTGCCTAGCCAAATTACTTTTTAGTACTTTTACATTATTATGTAAAGGCATTGCAATCACCGAGCTTTCTTCTAGATAATTTAACTCGTCAGGATAAAACCTTATAGATCTATTTAAATTCCCATGTTCTAATAGTGTAACTGATCCTGATCTACTGGTTTGACTTATACAGTTGATCTCACAGTCATTAATTAAATGATATTGAGCAAATTATATTAATTTATTTAGGTAGGTCTGTTGGATCCTTAAGGCGGCTGAGTTTACCTCTGAGCAGTATTTGAGGTGATATAAGCTTGATTAGAATCTCAGAGGAGTAGTCATTTTTAACAAAGATGCATCTGGATCCAGATTGCAGGTCTTGTGTATGGACTCGAAACTGACTCTGCATCAGTAGAATAGCTTCAAATGTAAGTTTCTCCCATTTGACACTTATTCTTTAGGTTACCCTTATTGCAATGTAAATGGAAACTTATGTGGTATTTGCGATAACACTGCGCTACCAAAATGAAGTTATTTTAATTAATTTAAAGTATCTGAATAGATATATAGTCAAAGATCTCGCCAAATCGTATGACTTAGTGAGTAAAGAGGCATACATATGTGTACTTTCATGTTTTCAGTAAAATGAACATACGATTCCACATCTACCTAAGTACCCATGAAACTGAGTACTTCATGGCACAGGAAAATACTTTATGATGAAGCTTATGAAGCTAAAATTGCACCAATAATTCAATAGAATAATTTAGTCGAACAAAACGATGGAAAATCTTGGTCTCGTTTACTACGGGAATACTAAGTTTCTTGTTCAATGGTTTTACTGACATTTAACATTACTTCCTTATGCGTTGAATTGGTTGACACATTTATCTCATTCTTTCAGTGAATTGAATTGACTTGAAGATGGCTGCCAGTGATATATCTGTCAACAAAATCACGGAAATATGGGTAATTGAAAACTTTTATTGACCTGAATTTCAACTGACTATCACTGTCATTTTTCTATCGAAATCATACAGTTCCTTTAGGTTTCACGTATGCAAAAGCACTATGAATTCGACTCAGCGTAGTGAAGGTCTTATTATTCTTATTTTCAGAATTCAGAACGTTTATGAGATAAACATTATCTGATATATATATATATATACTGATCATTCTTCTCTACAGCCTCTGCCTTTAAAGTCATCTACAAGGCGAAAAGTAATTTTTCTAAATCACTACGTAACCAACTCATATGTATTACTGAAGCTTTGGCTATCGAAATAGAAAACGTCCGTTTAACCCCTGCAACTTTCATGTTCTTAATCCCTTTATGCGAAAATATGGTAATCCCTAATCCTACTTGGACTCTACCTGCTTTTCGTTTTGTTTATCCAGTTTGTATACTCTTCCTTTATTACGTCAATAGTTACTATTACTATTCTCACTTTGAATATCTATATACATATTTGCAAGAATTAGTTTGTTTCAAGTTAGGCCACGGATTGATATCAGTTAGAGAACCATTGAAATCCAGGAAGTGCCGGACAGCTGCTTCATCCTAGTT